GACCATTTGAAAGATAACTTCCAATGTTATTCAGCTCCAAACAACTAGTATGTTTTGGCTTCTACAGTTTTCCTAACAACCCACTTAGTTAACTTCACAAACACTGAGATTAGAATGTCTATTACTCTTAAAGAATTAATTATTCGATGAGGGATGTTAGGTGGGTGCATAGATACCCAATGTAGACATAAATCTATAGAAAGAAGTACCATGATTGTGTCAGTGTATACATGAAGTAAGGATAGACTGTTGATATTATTAATATGGTTCCATACAGTCAACCTTAAAAATAAAACAGCCAGTTATTTTACAGCAATAAGAGAAAAATGGTTTTATTGAGGAACAGCAGAGTTGCCATTTGGAGCAAGCAAGCTACAGCAGAACCATAAGCAAATCCAATGAGCAAGGGAGGGAGGCTTACTTTTGTTAGGTTTTAGGAGGAAATTGGGAAGAGTTGTTCAGAACAAAAATTCATTGGAAAAAAACAAAATTCTCATCGGCTGCAAGCAGCTGTTGGTGCATTGTTGCTGGGGCAAGGAGGGATCTCCCTCCCATTTAAAAAAGCAGATGAACTTCCCATGTGATTAATTAATGTCCTTTCTTTTTCCTGCTGGTTATGCAGGCTGTAGTTTCACGTGAGATATTATGTGGGTGAGATATTATCTCCTCAGGGCTTTGTGATTCTGTTTTAAATAAGGTTTCATTTCCTTTATTTACTTTTACAATATTAATTGAAGGGTTGGAGTATCTAAACTTTATTCCCTATTATTTGTCAGGCACTTTGTTATTTATCTCTTAGAGTCTTCATATCTGTTCTGGTCACTGGGTATTATTACTTTTATATTGAGCAAAACTGAGGCTCAGACAAGTGACTTGCCCAAGGTCATATAGTCAGTATGTGACAAAACCAAAATTCAAACCCCAAACTCCTTCCATCCAACACAGTGCTGCCTCAATCAAGAAACGCTGCCTGTAGAATAAAGATGTCACTAATTCTAAGAAACACAGTTAGAAGGAATGGAGTTCTTCCTGGTGCGTAAACATGCTTGGGAAATAAACAGCAAGGACAGTTGGAGGGCGAGGGTGACCGGCTCCATCACCATGACTGACCAGGAAGACTGTCCAGAGAACTCTGTGGCTTAGGCTGAAAGGAAAGAGCTAGGAAGCAGAAAAGACAGTAGAATATCTCTGGAGAGGCAAACACACATAGCAAATGCTATAAGACAATTTGTAATTGATATTAAATTGTGCAGAAAAATCTCTAAATGCTTCAGATATGATCTTTGGAGGCTAGGTTAGTCAGAAAGTCTGTGGAAGAGGCCAGTTTCTTAAACTTGGGAAGAAACTCTCTTTGAGTTCTTTGAGTTTATAGACCCGAGATGACAGTAACTGAAGTGTTAGAGGACAAATGGTGCATTTTAGGGAAGAAATGAGGGAGATCCTTCAGGGTGGGCAGGGGGGATGATGAGAAGCACTGGGATAGTTGGGAAGAGGGCCTGACATTTCACTCAATGCAGAAGGTGGAACACCCTCTCTGTTTGGGAAGTGACAGGGTAGAAAGCATTATTTGGCAGTTTTTAGTCGGGCTGGAAGATACATGACAGACTGGGATTGTGTGCAGTGTCATTCAGGAAGCCCTTCTTAGAAAGATGTGAATTATGCATTCATTTTGATGGGCCTTTTCTTTATTACCCAGAATTAGATCAAGGAGCACTTTGGAATGCATCTCATGCGATGACAAGCTACATTTATAGAGGTCTTGCTGTGGGCCAGGCAATCTACTAAGGACTTTACTTTCAGTTAATCTTAACTGTCTATGGGGTATAGAAATTTTTACCTGTTTGACTTTCCATTATTTGTAAATAATCAATCAATCAGTCAATCTATCCATAAATCAGCTGAGTTGGTACATGGCAATGGCCAGGATACAGAGACAGGCACTGTGGCTCCGGACTGTTTGGCTGAGAATTCGATGCCTGGCCCACCACCTGGGTTAGTGGGTAAACCTAGTTTAAAGTCCCTCAGAAATACCAAACAATTGTTATTTCTCAACATATGAATGTTACAACATTTATAGGTCCCTGCCTCACACACTAATATAGCAAATAAAAATTTGAATATTCACAGGCACTGTTCTGCCTATTTTATGTGCATTATCTCATTTTAGGGAGAAACTGATGCTCAGTTGGTTATATAACCTGCCCACATAGCTTATAAGTGGCAGAGACAAGGTTTCCTTCATGGTATGATGAGGGAAACAGAAAAATATTATAGAGACTTGAAGTAAGAACTCACATGTGAGTGAGGGAATAAGAAAATATGTATGAAGGGGTTGCGTTTGAATTGCTATTTGATGGATGCATAGGATGGCAGAGGACCAGAGTCAGGGGGTGTTGGGAAGACCAGAGGCGGAAAGACTGCTCACGTTAGGCACTCCCACCTTGCTGGACGAATGGATTGGCACACGCAAGAATGAATTGGCTGGGGCTGCAAAAGCATGGTGACTGTTGTAAATGAAGGGAGAATAGCAGAAGAGACACTGTGAGGCAGACTTACAGGAATTAGCAGTGGATTGGGATATGGGTGAAAGGGAGCCAATGAGAGAATGTTTAGACTTGGACAAGTTGGATGTAAAGTGACAGGCATGTATTATGAAATGTTTCTCAAAGAATGGAAAGTGACATCTTTCAGAAATAAGGTCATCATACACACCTGTCAATTAACTTAGTTGCTGGTATTGCAAAAAAATAATTTTAGAAAAAACTTTAAAACTTAAAAAACACTTTTAGACCTTTCCTAATTTTGTACACTGCTACCGTTCCAGATAAATGAGTTATTTGTGTTAAAAAAGAAGTTTGGGAGAGACAAAGTAAAACAAATTGAGTAGTGACAAAAATACCACCTCATTTCAAGAGATGGTTGTGTTTGCACATTTTAAAGAGCTGTCTTCCATAGTCTTGGGATTATATACCAAGTGAATGAGATTTAGCAAAGAGGAGTTGTGACCAGGCCAATTAGAACATTTCCTTTTAATGCTGAAGTTCTGGGAAACTGATTTACATTGAGGAGAAATTTGAGGTAATGTTCTGGGAATGGGAGACCGAAATTTCCTGTCTGTCAAAGTCTGTAGGAGAATTGTATAAGTTGTACCTGGAATTTAATTATTGATGTGACCTCTTTGGAACTCCCCAAATAGAGGAAGGTTTTTATTTTGCTTTTTAAATGCTTAAAATTCTTCACATGAACTACTGGAAAAAGAAAAGATGATGACTGATTCAAAAGTAATCTGTTCATTCATCATCACGTGGACAGGCAACACTGCTTAAATAACTCATCATCCAGTCTACATGAGGACTGCGTCCACAGTAGTTAGGACAAATGTCCAGGGAAATAAGCACAAGAGGGAACTTTTGGCAAAGGTAAGCTATCAGTAGATACAGATCGGGGGCTTAGATCCTATCATGAGTGAGGCTTCAGATGTTAGCGAGGGCTGTGTAAAACAGTCCGGTATGGAAGCATCTTAGATAAAATTCTTGTAATTTTTTGGCCAGGAATCTAAAAATTGCTTCAGTCTGTGGCTGTAATTTCTGTGCCAAATAAGAAAGCACTTTGCTGGCTCTTTCTTTTATAGAAGGACCAAACGAGATAGATCGGAAATATGTACTTTGAACAGCTAGGCAGAGTCTCAGGAAGTTTGCCAAACAAGATTTCCAAATAAAATGTTTGGGACAGAAAACAGGGATGGACTTTGCAGATGTTGGATGGGTTCCACCAGCCATCTGTGCAAAGAGTTACTTGGTATCACATCAGCTGAGAGCTATGAAGTGGCACAAAACTGTCAGCGATAACTTCACTGTTAAGTGGGTCCCTTTATTTACCAGGCAAATCTCTCTTTACCACGATAAAGTATCTGAATGTATCTGCATTTCCTGTGAGAAACAATAACGATGACTGAAATTATTTAAACACGAAGGAGTTTCATCCATCGAACTGTTACCTCAGTGCTGATGCATTAGCAGTCGTGAAGGCAGATTAATTTACTTACGGTGAGCTAAGTGCATTCTTGGCTCGCAAAGGGGAATCATTCGCTCACTTAAGCCAGAGATCCCATTTTTGACGGCAAATGTCACTGCCTGAATTTCCCTTTAACAGTCTGGCAACCCCACACCCCTGTTATAGTATCCATTTATTTGTCTTATTTTCAGCCAGATTAATCCATTCTGTTTTGACAAGAAGACTGATGGGTAATTGATAACTGTGATAGACACAAACAGAAGAGTTGAATGCTGAATAATTCAGCACTTTTCAGTATCAATAAGAGAACAGGTTGAAGAATTTGTGTCTCTATTTACACTTAAACTAAACTAAGTCAGCCCAGACATTTATGCTGCCAGTCTATCAGAAAACCAAACAGTGTACATTCAGTTTCCACCCGACAAAATGTTTTATAAGCTTGTAACAATATGTGTGGAGCTGCCAGAATAATAAATAGGTGCGGCAGTCCATGCATGCTAATGTTATGTTGTAAGCAGTTTTGTTGACAAGTGCTAATACTTCTTTCATACTATCATCAAAAGCAGCTAATACAACAGCCATTATTTGCTGGCTTTCCAAGCAAGACATGATGGATTGTGACCTTAATATGGGTTAGCCGAGTTTTGAAAGTTAAACAACTTGCAATAAATCATAGAATTATTACAATGCAGTTTAATTGGTTAAGGACTGTTTATTTCCTAAACAGGGTGAAAAATTTCTGTTTCGGCACTTTTAATTTGCAAAGTGCATTTTCATTATGAATGGCAGTTTAATATTCTGCTCTTTTGTCATGCAAAACATGCAACACACAGGCAATCTATTAATTGGACAAAAATGCATTGCAAGCGTAAATTATCCTTTATATCATCACTTGTGAGCTTTTACATCTATTAAATGTGTTAAATGGAACATAGTTAAAGACTATACAACTTGCAGGGTACTTCTGAAACTTAAGTCATGCTGCAAGATGATTTTAATGACCTTTATTTTTGGCAAAATAAAGTAATTAAGTAATTGTAAATATAAAGGGCAATTAAGAGTTATTGCTTCCTTAAGGCACAGGTGCAAATGTTGTATTGTCCCAAGAAACAAACAATAGCACTGGTTCGTATTGATATGTCTTGAGAAATGGAATCCACCTCAGTATTTACTTCTTTCTGTGCTACAGTATAATTTCTAGAGCAGAAATTTCCATTGGCAAATGTGCAGGAAAAGGTAAGACAGCAGCAAATTGATATTGCAGCAAAGCTCAGCGTAATAGAATTGTCACCCCCATATGTTTTGATTCAATGATGTACCTTTGCATGGGGCTAGTTAGAGCACAGAAACAGTAATGAATTATTTTGTACCAGGAATGTTGCTGTGACATATGCGTGACTTTAAGAAGGGCAAATATCTCAATGTATTCCTCAGTGCAAGACTGCCTTAAAATGTATGCAACCTCTTTATTCACATACAATTCTGAGCACATTTCACATATGTATTGACACCTGGGCAGATCTTTTACAAACTTAAAACTTCCTCTGGCTTCAAACCTGTTCCACAGGTTGGCTCAGCTGAAGCAGGACTACTTTTGTGCGGCCGCTCCAAGTCTCCTTCCAAGGTATTGATTGCCAGCAATATGAACCGAAAGTTAAAAGTATACTTCAGATAGGCATTTCATTCATTTTTCCTAGAAGAAAAATAATGTTAATGTGGTAATGTGAATTCTGTTGTTATAAAGGACTAAAAAACATTTTTTCCCATTTAAAATGTCACAAAGCATACATAAAAAAAACTGTCTAGAACTTGGGATGAGAAAAGTGGAGATCAAAATGTGCACAAATTGGAACAAATTGTTTACCTTTATTTATGGTATACAGAAGCACAGTAATGCTTCAGGATCTTAGGGATTTCATACTAAAAAAAAGAGAAATCTAGTTACAGAATTCTGATCTTGTACTAATGTTAATCATTTCCCTTCTCATTTAAATGCCATGCTTACCTAGAGTTTGCAGTTTCTCTTTATCAGAAAAAAAGAGATGGGGAAGAGAGAGATGGGAGAGAGGGAGAGAGGAGAAGAGGGGAGGACAGGGGAGGGGGCAGGAGAGGAGAGTGTCAGGAGAGGCTATTGCTATAGTCTGTTGATTGTACTTTCTTGCTGTCACTCGTGCCCTGTAATATGTAATTATTTTATTCAATTATCACTAAGCATCACAAAACACTAAATTTCAATAATGATTTAATGTTGTAATTTTATGTACTGAATTTTACAGATAAGAAAATATCAGAAACATAACCGATATTTAGGTTATGTAAATATTGGTAAATATAGCCCAAACTCTTAACTTATGAAGCTAATAAGAAGTTGAGTTGATTCCACTGCTTCTTGGGGCACTTTTCAAAGTTATTAATTAATAGACTAAATCTGTATTCTGTGTGAGGATTAGAAGATTTCCTGAAAGCTCAGACACATAAAACTGAAAGTATAATGACTATAAACTTAATCATTCTTGTCAATATGATTATTTTCAGTTATCATTTTTTATGTTTTTTATTAAATTTCTTGGGGTGACATCAGTTCGTAGAATTATATAGGTTTCAAGTGTACAATTCTATAACACATCATCTATATATTGCATTGTGTGTTCACCACCCAAAGTCAAGTCTCCTTCCAGCTACATGTATTTGACTGCCTTCACCCTTCACTGCCCCCCCACCCCCTTTTCCCTCTGGTAACCACCTCATTGTTGATGCGTCTATGAGTTTTTGGGTTTTTGTTGTTGTCTTGTTTGATCATTTTTGTTTTTAGTTTCATATCCCACATATGAGTGAAATCACATGGTTCTTGACTTTTTCAGTTACCATTTTCAACTAACTTTTTACCATATTTTATTATTAAATTTCAAACATACAGAGAAGTTTAGATAATTTTACACCAAATACCCAGATACCTGCTACTTTGATTCTGCTATTAACTATATTTCCCTTTTCACATGTCTCTCCATCTTTCTACCCATCCATCAACCCGTATTATTTTTGGTGCATTTCAAAGTCCACTGCAGCCATCAGTATATTTCTCCCTGAGCACTACAGTGTGCATATCATTAACTAGAGTATAGTTTTATTTACTGTTTTTTTTCTTTTGAGGGAAAATCTGCAAATAGTAATGTACACTAATCTTAAGTGTAGCATTTGATGATTTTCAACAAACTTTTAGTCTGATACACCCATGTTGATGAACTCTCTTAGATGTCAGAACAGAATGAGATTCAGTGCATACAGAACTGTCCAAGGCCTGGTCTCCAGACTGCTCACTATCGCTAAGACCAGCTCATCTGCAGGACCACCTCCTACTTGGGACATTCAGCTCTGGAGGTCCCTAGTTCCTTCTGTTTTGCCAGCATAAGCAGTTTATATAATTGGGCTCCACAACAATTACTGTGCTATCCATTGTGTACTTGTTATGTGCAGAACATTTTGCTAAGTGTATGGAGAACACAGAGGAGTCTGAGGACACAGAGGAGTCTGAGGAGACAGAGGCCAAGCTATGGAGTCTGTCCAAGGTCATTCAGTCAAATTGTGTATGACACAGCTAAGTGGAATAGTTCAAGATTGCGCCTACTTAAAAGCCAGTTCAGTGAGAGGGGAAATTCTGGGCAGCTCAGAGGAAATAAGAGTGTTCTGGAGGGTTCCCTATCTCTCACATTATCCATCCATCAGCAACCAGCATGACCATTTAAAAAAGTAAATCAGGTCCTGTCACTCTCCTGCCATAAAACCCCTCAATGACTTTGCAGCACAATTGGAAAAACTGGACACTCCTGTGAGACCCTGTGTGACATCACTTCCCTCCCACCTGGCTCTGTGTCTTCTCACTTCCCACATCCTCCTTGCTAGCCTTCTTTTCCTCAAACACACCCCACTTGCACTCCAACTACAGCCTTTTCTCTTGCCCCCCTCTTTCCCTGGAACACTCTTCCCCCAACCTTTCAAACAGGCAATCCTTTCTCATTATTCAGGTCTCAGGCCAAATGCTCCCATGGAAAGGTCTTCTCTGCAGAAAGAAAACACCCATACCATCCCGCCACCTTGTCCCAAGTCAAAAAATATCCAGTGCAAGAGTAGATTTGCTTGGCTTTTTGCAGTCTCCTGGGAAATGAGTTTAGAATGTGCAGATGATTATTGGAGGAGCATCTGAATAAAATTAACAATAAACTAAACAAGAAGAGTCAAAAATTAAAAGGAAATATAGATAGGACTTGATGAGCATAAGTGTGTGGATACAAAGGCAATAATCTCAGAAAACACTAAGATAGTCAGTTTTGAAACTAGAAAGAATAGAAACTCTAGTCTTGAAGTAACCAAAATATATATCAGATTCTTCTTGCAATATTTATCATGCAACATTTGTTTACTGTCATGAAAGAGAAATGAATAACACAGGAAATTTATTTTAGTACTATAAATAAACAGGAGAAGTTAATAAGCCTACCTACAACTTTTTGCTACAATGAAAGTTACTAACATAAATTAAATTAGGAGGGAAAAAACCCTCAAACTATTCTTTTCCATGAGTGATTAGATTAGTGACTAAATTAGCTATTGTTTGTAAGTCTGATGTAGTTATTTGACTATTTAAACTTGAATTTAGAAGTATATAAAATAAGATTTACAATAAGAAAATGTTAGTAAGACAACAGCTGATAATGGGTGAAAGCCATTTGAGATTGTATGTTCGAATGTCCTTAAGGTTTGCAACGTGTGGGACCTTCAGAGTGTTTGATGTTGTGGATGACATCTACACCAGGGAGTGTTTCTGTCAACTATTCTCATAACTTTTTGCTTTATTGTTTCCATCACATCAGAAATACACATAGAGTGTAAAACCCCTGCAAGACTTTTCGGTGTTGCTCAGTTTGAGAAAGTGCACCTGTGCATTTCAAACCTCGAATACTTTTGGATGCTTTCACTTGGAGTGGTTTTTGTGTGTATTATATAATTTTATCATCACATTAATCTCTGAAATAGACATTGCCCTTAAATCCAGATATTTTTTAAAAAACTGAGACTCGGGGATTTTATTTCTTCAAGTTCTAAGCACAGCTTACTAATTCACGGCTCTTCCTTCCTTCCGTGTGTGGATGACCACGACAAAGCCTTGGCACTGCAGCGCAGCACTGACACCCTCGTGCCCCCACCTCCTCTGCTGCCACCACCCCCTCACCAGCTCATTTACCATTCCATCAGCCCTATAACTGTCCTGAAAAGTTGCATTCAATCTTGGGCAAGTAGAGATTTTGAAAAAAATAGGTCATTCAAAAAATGTTTTCAGCATGTTTACATCTTCATAAAAATGAGGGATCCTTGAGGTGTCAAGTTGACTAATGCACGAACACTTGAAGAAGCTCAGCCTCAAGACGTGAAAGACAAACGTAAATACCTGTCTTATGTTTCCATAGGTGTGACCTATTCTCTTGAAAAGGCCATTTTAATCTCAAATTTCCATTACTGTTTATCACCCCAAAACATTGTTCAGTAATGCCTCTTGCCTACACAAGGGCTCCCATCTTTCCCAGGGAACCATGTCAGTATGAGTTACGGTACACTTACATCTAGAAGAAATAAGTTTAATCTGCTCAGGATATTGGATCTTTTCAAAGCTGTTCTTAAATGCTATGAAAGAAAAATCATAACAGGTTAATTTGGGGATTCCCAATTTTAAAAAAATATTTTATTTATTTATATTTTTAATCTTTATTTATTTATTTATTTTTAGAGAGAAGGGGAGGGAGGGAGAAAGAGAGAGAGAGAGAGAGAGAGAAACATCAATGTGTAGTTGCCTCTGATGTGCCCTCAACTGGGGACCTGGCTCACAACCCAGGCATATGCCCTGACTGGGAATCGAACCAGTGACCCTTTGGTTCACAGGATGGCACTCATTCCACTCAGCTGCACCAGCCAGGGCTATTTATTTATTTATTTTTAAAGAGAGGAGAAGGGAGGGAGAAAGAGGGGGAGAGAAACATTGATGTGAGAGGGAAACATCAATTGGCTGCTTCTTGTACATGCCCCAACCAGGGACCAAACCCGAAACCCAGGTATGGGCCCTGACCAGGAATCAAAACAGATAGCCCCCTACTGCTTTGTGGGATGATGCCCAACCAACTGAGCCACGCTGGCCAGGGTGGATTCCCTATTTTTATGTTCCTTGATCTTGCCTCTACTATGGACTTAGGCAGAATTTTTTCACTTATCAAAATCACTTCTGTGTCCAAAATCCCTTGTTACCAAAATTCTATTCTTCAGTATTAAAAATATATAATTTTGAAAGTTAAAATAACAGAATTATTTCATATAAATGTAAAAATATATATAAGTAAATTTATATAAATTAGTTTTATTATAGAATTATCCTATGTAGGATTTTAGTTCTTAAAATCCTTACCAATTACATGTTAATATATTCAAAACTATTCTTTCTCACTTTGATACCTAACTACTTTACACCGAAAGACAAATGAATTTATTAAGAAAGAGAAAAAAATTTTTTTACCTTCTGTGAGTTTTGCAAGGAACAAGAAATATATCTATATGAAATATTTTCATTGCAACTATGGAATCTCTCACAGTTTTTTTTATTAAGTTGAAATTCCATTACTCTTTATTCCACAGGGATGGAAAGAATGCACTTTATTTTTTGGCAAAATAAATAAATACCCTGAGTTAGTAAAAATATCAATTACAAGAGTGTCTACCCTAAAAGTCACATTCATTTTGTTATTGCAAGTTATTAAAAGGCTTCCAGGCATGCATATTGAAAAACAATGGTTGGATCTATCATATTAAATTAAAATCTCTTTCTAAAAAAGTAAACCCAAGTAGTTCATCAGTCAGGGAATGCCATGCCACTGCAGAAGTCAATACAAGTAAGACTTTATTAAAACACACAAATAAGACTTCAAACATAAAATGAAGTTCCACCAGAACCCTCAATGGGAATTGTTCTGCTTTAGATTCAAATGTGGAGAGTAAAACTATATCAGGTGACTTTAACTTTCTTAAAGTACAAAGGAAGAAAAGAAAAACACATTTCATGGCCAACAACAGGGATTACACTTGAGAAAGAAAATATGGCCTTGAAAAGGTCTGTGTGAAATATAACCACATTGTCATCAATTTAGACAACTCTCTGCTTTCAAAACAGATGATTCATATTCTCTAATATTTGTCCTCGTGCTAAGTTTCTTTGACTCTTTTTCTCATACTTAATGTACCTTAAGTCAATTCCTGCAATTTTACGTAGGTGCCATTAGTTGGCGGTCCAGGTCATTTTCTTCTTTAGTTATTCTTTATTTCTTGTTATATCATTAAATGTTCTTTTCACGATAGCTCTCTTTTTTTTTCCCCCTGAAGCAACTGGCACGTTCACCTGTAAAAAATTCAAAGGATGTACTCAAATTTTGAGAAGAAGGCTATGCTATAGTTAAGATAATTTTGCAGATGCAGTTGCCAGTATGTTAGTTGTAATTCTTTCCATTCCCAACTAGGCAAATAAGTGTTATCACACCCCATCTGAAAGTTAATGTTCCACATTATCATGTGAGTTGGCTACAAAATATTTCATGGAATGGATGTCCCATGCATATGAATAATCTGTAACAGAATATTTACCTGGTCTCTAATATTTTATTTAAATAATGTCATGAAAAATTATAACAATCTTTGAACATTATCTAGATGGGTAGTGGTTAAAATTTTAGTATTTTTGATATGTAAACAAAAATACAACAAAAAATTGGCAACCATTTTCAGAGTTGTATAGCCAAGCAATTTTCCAGATAGTTAGATAAAAAATTTTTATTATTACTGTCAGCATTTCTGCTTTTTTGTATACCCAGTGAACTAGAGAAAGCAGAGTAATACCAATGGTTTTAAAAAATTGTTTGAGTCCTGGTTGGCATGCATCATTCTGTAATCTGAAAAGTGGCAGGTTCAATTCCTGGTCAGGGCACATACCCAGGTTGCAAGTTTGGTCCCAGTTTGGGGCATATATGAGAGGCAACTGATGGATATTTCTCTCTCATATTGAAATTTCTCCCCCTCTCCTTCTCCCTCCCTTACCCTCTCCCCAGAATTCAATAAGCATGTCCTCAGGTGAGGATAAAAATAAAATAAGATAAAATAATAAAATAAATTATTGGATTAGCTCTTAAAAGAAACAGCTCCCCTAACAAACAGTACATAATCTTTTATACTGTCTCCGAAATATGAAAAGTATGGGCATACTTCTGCAAATACAAAAAGGGAGTCTGCATCTACAGCGGCTGGTGTTGAAGGACACACCACTACGCGGCCTGTGTGAACTTCCTCTGGCATTTAGGTGAGAAGTGGGCCTACCTGGAACAATGTCATTCAGCACAGAGATGTACCGTGAGGCGGTATGCTGCCGCATACAGCACAGATTCATGTGGTGACTTACGTATGTTGAAGAAAGCAAAGTACCTGTGAACCCAGACAAGTCTTCAGGACAGTGTTCCCCATGCGGTGACGGAGCAACCAAGGCCACTTTTATTTTTGAACCTGCCACGTCAGAATACAGCCTCTGTTGTTGCCATGGCCATGAAAGAGTGCACTGGAGGGTCCCTTCCCACTGGCAGTCATATGCTTTGACACAGTCCACAGCCAGCACTAGTCACATGGCCCCATCGTAATGCACAGGCACAGATGGACTAGTTACCCAGCATGACAGTCACCGTCACAGGCTTTATAAGGTCACATCATCAGGGTTTTTTCTTTCTAGTTTTTGTCATGGCTATTCTAAAAATTTGGATGTTAGAGAAAACCCTTTTTAAAATTAATATTTGTTACAGAAGTTGAGCTATAGTCCCACTGGGTGGGAAGTGGGATGCAGGGAACAAATAAACTAAGTTGAAAAATTTTGGTGAAGACAAACAAGGCAGTAACCAGTTCTGGCCGAAGTGAAAGCAGTTTGCTTTCCTCCAGCAATAATTTCAGCACTTCCCAGGTTTATAATTTTCTCTTCTTGCTTTCTCAATCCCAGAAGTAGCTACCATTTCTCAAGATCTTTTTTTCTTATGCCTACATTATGCATCTATAATGTTATTCTCCTTGTTCAAATCACATAATTGGTATGTTCAGCTTTCTTCATGTAGATTATACAACTTTAGGGCTTTGAACACTGAAGGTACTCAATAAACATGTAGAAAATTTGACTGTTTATATAGCACATGTATTTTTATTTTAAGGCTATTGACTAAGAAAAATGTAAGCAGAGGACAACCTCACCCTCTTAGAAACACAGTTGGGTCTCATACAATAATCAGAGTAGAACAAAATAGAGAGTGAGATCAGAATGGCTAAAAGGGCAGAATTCAGACAAAGCGTGATCCTCGCTTAGAGACAAAGGAAGGCCCCCGGCCTGCTTAGGAGATAACAGGGAGAAGGAGCTCCCTCTTGAAGGGATGGAGTGAGGTTGGGACAATCCCAGAAGGATATTTAATCATCGGCAGGACCCAACTGAGAGTCCACAAAGAGGCATACAACTTCAACATACATCTTTGGACCCCCACAGTCCCAAGCTAACATGTTTACTGTTTTTCCCTTGTCCATTGTTAGGTCTTATTGCTTTGTAACTCTTCTTTAAGAATGTAATAAATTCTCCTGGCTGGTGTGGCTCAGTGGATTGGGAGCCTGTGAACCAAAGGGTCACTGGTTTGATTCCCAGTCAGGGCACATGCCTGGGTTGCAGGCTAGGAGAGGCAACCAGACATTGATGTCCCTCTCCCTCTCTTTTTTCTCCCCTTCCCCTCTATCTAAAAATAAAATAAATAAAATCTTTTAAAAAATAGAATAAATTACTCCTAGATAATCTTTAGTAATTATTGAAAACATTGATAGCCATTTCTTCATGGTTGAGTTCCCCTTTCTCTAGTTGACATAGATTGAAGTAGGGAGACATGAGGCCTTTGCTGATAGAGAAGGATTTTAAGGCTATTTAAAGAAAATTTAAAAAGTAGTTTCTTCTGAAAAATTTGTATTCTGGTATTTTATTTGTATCTTTTTAAATGTCATAACAAGAAATGGATTGGATTTTGAAGACAGTCATTTTAAATAATTAACCATGAATCATTTTAATTAGCAGAAAATAATTATAGGTTGGATATAAACTCTTATGAATACAAAGGACAAAGACTATTGGAAAAATACCACCTGATAGATGTTGAAATGAATCCAAAAGAGGTCTTTTATTTGAATCAATCTTCAACTAAGGCATTTTAAATGCCTCCCATTAGAAAACATTCGTATTTCTGCAAGACAAAAATTATTAGCAAGCATATGTTGTTGGTTAAAGAATATTTAGTGTAACGATTAAAGAAGACATCTTTACTGCTTCCTAAAAAGGAAAATAATTCACTTGTTCTTTTCATAACACTTTCTGGGTCAGAAGAAAATCTTAGACAGACTCGGAATATCTGTACAGGAGTGCTTAGAAAACTATTAGTGGAGTTTAATATATCATTTAACTTGGAAAATGTTTATTGAAAGATTGACATGATAGAGCTAATATGTGGCTTCTGTTTTCTAAGAAGAGCTTGTAGGGACAGAACATGTGGCGAGCTGATGAGCAAAGCCACACACATATTCCACTGGCAGTCGGTTTCTGTGAAGACCGCCAGCAGGACCCCAATGAGAACTCACAACAGGACGCAGTCCCCAGGGGTGCGTTTTTGAGCTAAGGGAGCCTGGTGTGGGTCCCGGGAGACATGTGCCTTGGATATGTCTCCAGGGGCCACACAGATAACTAGCTAGTCCCCCACTAATTCTCTGCCTTGAATAAGTCACACAGTGGTGCTTTACTTGTTTATAATTAATGCCACCAGGATTGTAACATGGTAAAATGAAACATGAAATTAACTTTTTCAAGTCAAAAGCAGCAGCAACAAAAAGGTATAGTGTTATTTGGTCAAAATGTACTTTTAATATATTGATTTTTATTAATAAAAACATTGACACTGTTGGAAATGAATAGTATCTGGTATATGTGTGGTTAAATAAAGCATAACTTATTTTCATGTGAGCATGATAAAAAAAAGTAAATGATGCCTTATTGCACCGAGGTATGTTTTTATGATTGTTGAGAGCTAATTGTGCAAGAGTGTACCTTTGCACAGAAATATATAGTGCCATTCCAATCACTGGTCACAAATGGTTCCTAGGCACATTTCATTGTGATTTTGCAGGCTAGCTTCCAATTTAGAAAAATAACATGGTCACTACTTAAATTGTTGCTTTTTTTCCTGCATTACTCACTTGCCACCATCTAGAAAGTTGTTTTTCTTGGTAATAAGTGCGGTCAAGTTTTATGCAGAGGACAAAATGCTGTTCCTAAAAAGCATCACAGCATCCCTCCATCCTGTGCCATTTTACCCTCCTCGTCTCTCTTCTTCCCTCTCACTTGAAATATGGAATGAGACATTGTTTTTAGTGAATCACCACTAGAATATGTTGGCTGCCTGGGAGAAAAGAGGAAGGTCTAAGAATCTCCTTAGATCTTCTCCCATTGGTTTTGGCATAGATTGCTTTATACAATTAGCTAAAACAGCTTTGCAGCATAGTACAGTTCTTCTTTGCCTTGGATTTGAGGGTAATCTGTCCAGTGGTTTAATAGGTGACTTTTAATGTTTCTTTCAACCCTAAAATGTTTTATTACAAGTAGTCCTGTGTAGTCCAGGGTTGCTTAAGGGGAAAAAAAGAAAGTAGAACAGTAAATGGAAATGAAACGTTGAGATAGTTAAGGAGAATTACACACTGCAGTTTTGCCTGGAACAGATAGGCAAGAGCATAAGTGAGAAAAATGAACCCTAATACAATAAGCCACATCCCTCCTAACTTTCCAACCCTTGCACCTATTCTTTTTGAGCAGGGAAAGTGGGTTTCACTGAAAGAAGACAAGGTTCTCTGGGGAGAAGGGGAAAGAAGTGAGAATGTATTTGTTCCTTCAATGATAGGAGGAACTTACCAAAGAATAGGACTGATGCTCTATTCCTAGGGACTACTTAGATTCCATGACAGTGAACATCTGTTTGTGATATAATCTTGTCTATAGGTCAGCCAGGCAACTGCTTGGCTAGCTGCCTGCTGAGCAGCCCAGCACCAAGGAATAGACAAGAGTCACACACAGTAACTATGCTATTCACTCAGCTTTTATTGAATGCAGGTTCACTCAAGGTAGAGCATCAACATATATTAATATCCTACTCACACTGTAATGATCTAAGAGAAATACAACACACACAGAGAGCAGTCAATGGGGAATAACGAAGCTGAGTCTCAGTCAGCAGGTCCAGGAGGCAACACAGTGGGCAAGGAAGTCATCAGCATCCTGCAAGGAAGAATCTCTACAGCCAAGTGGGCAGCAGGGCAGGTGAAGTCCTCAGTCCAGCAAGGCAGAGCCGCCAGTGGCCAATGTCAAGGGAGATCAGCATGACATAGAGCAGCACTCTGGTATGTGGAGCTCAACTGTCTCAGCAGTGCTGCCTCAGTCATACCTTGAAAGTGGTGTGCTCCACCTTTCTCGGTGCTTCTGGTAAATGTCTTGGCACCCCTGATAGCAAGTGGAGAAGTTCCCCAGGAGCCTATCTATGGGTGGTCCCACTCTGAAGACATGGCTGTTCTGATCATGTGTGCAGATATCTTGGGTGTATCTTCTTGCCAGATGTGTCTGTTATGACTTAGGTAGTTCCCCTCTTGAACCAATGTGTCAAGGCTGACTGGCAGCCATCTTGGTTGACATGAGTGACTCCAGTTTGTTTGGTATACTTTATGTGGAAGGATGAGCATTACCAGCATCCTCTCTCAATGCGATTGAAGCCCAATACTTGGTTCTCCTGGCAGAGAGAAAATGAATTGTAAGAATTCTAATAGCATAGCCTTATTTTTTAAATTATAAAATGAGTAAAAGAAATGAGTTGACGGCTGGTGAGGGGGTTTAGAAGATGGAGGTACTGAGCAGAAAAGAAAAAGGAATCAGGGACACAGACAACAGTGTAGCAATTGCTGGGGGAGGGAGATATAAAAGGACTAAATGGTAATAAAAATACAATAAAGATTAAATTATTAAAAAATCAAATTTGACTGGGCATGTAAAAATTCACACAGATAGATCAATGGTTAGTGAAGAGGCTAAAATATAATTCATCCTAATGCATATCTGTTTCTAGGTAGAAGAGTCTGCCTTAATATTTAAAATATAGGGAAATATTATTAGTTTTCATTCCAATGTTAAAATAAGCCTAAAACTTTTAGTGAAGTTTATCCCCTCTACGTTGGCTCACCATTATAAAAATGTATAAAAGAACCAGATCAAGTTATTGATCACGAATTATTTTTAGAGGAATTTTAAAAATAGATTTACTGAGATATAACTGATAATAAACTGTACTATTTAAAGTGTGCAAGTTAATAAGTTTTCAGCATTTCCATTATCTCCCAAAGTCCCTACATGCCCATTGGTGATGTCTCCCACCCACCCTTCCCCATTCCCAGGCAAGCACAGGTCAACTTTTAGTCACCATAGATTAGTTTGCATTTTCCAGAGTTTTATATGAATAGAATTACACAATGCATACTCTTTTTGTCTCATTTCTCTCACTCAGGACAATTATTTTAATGTTTATCCATTTTGTTACAACAATATGTTCATTTTTATTCCTTTGATTATTTATTGTTTATCCATTCATCTGTTGATGGACATAGGGGTTGTTTCCAGTATTTGACTATTACAAATAAAGTCACTATGAACATTCATGTGAAAATACAAATTCTTAATTAATAGAATCTGTTGGGATTTGCAGGATTTTGTTTAAGTAGTTGTCTCTTCTTATCTAAATTTACTGTGTTGAAATACTATGAATATATTTTTGTAATCTTCTCATATAGCTTGTAATGTTTAAAAAACACTTGTTTTCTTTATAATGCATGATCATAGCAAAGTAATATTTATAAACTATTTCTGATATATCATTATTAAAAATTGTTTTTGCTTTAGATTCATAGCATTCAATTAGAGAACTAAGTATTATTAGTATGTATAAAGCTTAGTGATCACCAGTGCAAGAGCAAAAAATAAATAGGAGATAAATACTATATAAACAATAAGAATCCAAAGTTGAATAAAGTGAATTTCATAGAACAACAACAACAACAATCTATGTAGTAAGGTCACAGGAATAACATCCAGTTAGAAAATAAGAAGTAAATTCATTGAGAACAGGGATTTAATGGAGACCTTGCAGCACGGGTAGGATTTAGCAGGTGATGTTGGGAAGAAGCATGCAGTGGCAAGGAAGGAACATGAATTAGAGCCTAGAGGCAGGTGCACGGGGTACATTCTTGGACAAATCACTCCAATGTTATTGTAGCCCAGGGTCAACTCTACGGTATGTTAGCAATCTCCTGTTTCCTCAGACCTCTTCTGGAATGTTTGATTGCGCTATTTGGTTTTGCTCAGCAGCCATTCTTTGAATGCCCATGAAGTAACAAGCTCTGTGCCAAAGAAAGGGAATGAAAGATGAAAAGGTGCACACGTTCTCCGCCCTCAGATCACTTACAGTGTGGCAATTACTTTAAAGTATTATGGTTTCCACAGATATGTGTGGAATGTAGCCGAGTAGAGAAGAGCCCCTCGCCCAGCCTGTCGACTCAGGCAAGGCTTTCTAAAAGCAGGATGGCTGGAGCTCACTTCAGGTGGATGAGCACGAGTTAGGTGTCAAACCGAAGCAAAGGCCTCAAGGCACAGGGTAACAAAGCATGAAAAAAGGCAAACAGTGTGAAGAGCACTTGGGTTTGGGAAACTAGCGATAGTTCAGGATTCCAGGGCATTCAGGTAGTTTCTGGAGTGTCATTACTGCTACAATCCTTTTGTTTTTTGTATGTTTGTTTGGTTTTTGATGTGTTATTGATATAGAAAGATAGTTCTATGGTTTCCATTGTAGGCACACAGCCTTCACCTAGAGACCTTAGAGTTACTAATGGTGTTTCATTCCTAGAATATATACATATTTATGTTAACTGTTATGTTGTTATTACACTCTGTGATGATTTTCTAACCAAACACTGCATATATTCAATGTTCTCCAAATTTCATTACCTTGATTTGATGAGTTCCATGAGCATATATTACTGAACAGTATACCCAAGAGTTATAAGAGAACACAACAATGAGAGTTTGGAGAATTCTCACCTTCTTGTTTTAATAAAAAAAAATCTGCTGCTCTATAAGTGACTCTGATTACAGTGCATACCAACC